CAATTTTCCCTTCGAAATGGAAATTCATGTCACAACAACTAATTATATTAGGGTAAAATCTTATCGCATATTTCATTATTTCCATTTAGTTTGGAACTTTCATTTTAATATTCTTGCAAATTGGTCTTACCAGAAAACGTAATTTTAGTTCCCTTGGTCTTCACTCAAAGTCATTGGTGGCTTCTTCACACCAGTCATGTGCAAAACACTCATCCATAATTTTGTAGGCACCCTCAGATACACGCCTTGTAATTTACTCGAATTTACACCTATAAGTGTCACAGAAAGATTCATGGCGCCATCAGGCCAAGAAGATAGTTGACTTAGATCGAAGTTCAATTACGTTTTCTTCTTAGCACCATGAAAAATAAAATGACACAAGTGATCGAAGTAATAAATGATTATTCTCTATGTAAATATGCCGAAATAGAATGTCGACACCTGTGTAAATCCTAGACTTACGCTAGATAGTTTAAACTGACTGCATTGCTTAACCTAAAAATGTTGGCACTCTTTTCCTAAACATAGGGAGACAGCGGTGGTCCCCTTGTTTGCGAGATTGGCAACCAACCTCGACTGGCAGGAGTCGTGAGCGCTACGCATCGCAGTAAACCTGGCGACTTTCCAGCAATCTTCACAAGAGTCAGCTACTTTGTCGAATGGATCCGTGAGACTATTAAGGAGCCTTCGTCAGTGACTGAAATTCCAAAGTACCTGCGTATGTTCGGATCTATTTTCAACCGCCCGTAAGACTCACGGTCGCTGTCGACTCCACTCAACAGAAGGCTGAGGATCCCCAACAATGGAAACCCAATTAATTTAATTTTCACATTATTCATATCACCGACAAAATTTCGCTCAACCTTTCCCACTTATCCCCACTTCGATTTAAACATACACTGCATAGCATTATTCTACTCGACTAGCCACCTGGGGAGTAGGGAGCTAGGATGAAGTAATTTTCTAATCACATTTACTATTTAGATTGAAAATCAAAAAGCTGATCAACTTAAGGCACCAATACAAAGCAGCCTTAATATTTTCTAATATGGCTAAACGACCTAAACGAGCATCTCTTTAGGCCAAGGCCATAAATAAGTTTGCTTTCAACATTGTCTTTCCTATAATTCTGTAGGCTGTCTTAATCTATATAACATACATTTTTATGCTTTAAAATCATTGAAGTGCTAGTATAAAGCCATACTGTTTATAGTGGTATTTCGGTAAAGGGATGTATTACGATTATTATCACCATTAATTGAAGAGAGGGCTTGATTTTATAAAACGTTATTCAATTTGGGTAGCAGGAGAATCTCACTAAACTATAAACTATGGCTATATTTTGCGCACTGGCCTGTGTTAGTGTCACATTTCACGAAATTAAAGTAGGCTCGAGGATGACTCCTTCATCGGTCGAGTGAATAGTATATAGAACGTTTAGTTTGCGTGCTGTCGGGTCAATCTCAGTCGAATGCTGTCTTTAGCCCAAAGTTCTATCCATACACAGAACCTGCTCAACACAGCAGCATTGAACTCTTTAATGCCATCTATCGCACGGCTTGTAAAGACTATACACTTTGTAGAAACCATGTAATGACTTGGGACTACAGGAACTCAGTCTTTCTGAAAAGAAAAGGACAGCTTCCAGCAACTCTCTGCCCAAGGGCTGATCACTTTCAATCAGCCTGGTTTCTCAAGGCCAGATAGATTAACATTAAATGATGAATTTAAGAGGTCACTTGAGTTCGCCCTAAACTGCTTATCCTCGAAACTGAACTAACCTTATCACATCTGACAGGCTTTATCGGTATCTCTAGATGAACTCGCAAAGAGACCATCAAAGATTCTTGAAATTCAAGAATATGACGGTCACAGACCATGTGTCAACTTCATACTGGCCTGTCACTGCATTTACACGGTAAATAGTTATGAAGGCTAAGAAAAATCTAGCTAGTATTGCTAGTATTGTGGTAGTAGTTAATCTCCATGTCTGCATACAAAAGCGTGCTAGCAAGAGTTCCAATGTGAATCAAATTCCGAAATAGCTTGTTATACTTTAATGAACTAGGTTTAGAAATTACCATTGAAGAATGTATAAGAGTTCCCGTTGCTCAGCGAATGATAGTTGAATTTCCCAACAGCGATAAGAAAGTATTTAAGAAACCTACTTCCTATGAATATGAGTAATGTATTCGAGTTTAATTTTAGCCTACAAGCTTTTTGAGGAGACTTTCGTTCCGAATGAAAGTGCACGATCAAGAGATTTGTTGGTTGATCTCATCGGAAGACAATGGTCGTCTAGCTTAATATGGCGTTCATCTTGACGCAATTCATGAGACATACTCCCTCGTTCCAGGTGAAACTGGGCTGGGATCAGCTAAATATTCTCTTCATCAAACTGTGGTCGCCTATCTTTGGTCACATACGGCATCTCAAGTGGATTTCTAGTACATTTTGGCCATAACGCTGAATTGCCGTGACGGTTTGCATATCTGTCTGCCCCACTCACTGATTGCCAAGTCCCCAAAGTTGTACTGGTTTCTTCGAAATAGACATCACTCACTGACAACGTCTTTGCTTTGTTGACGAAAACCCCTTCCCTTCAATTTCTTCATCGCGATCCCTTTTCCTCCGATTAGCAGTAGATCCTTTATCCAGGCGTCTCTGTTTTGCTGGTCTTGCTCTATTCTTGTTTTCCCCGAGTTCGCTTAGGCAGTAGGCAAAGTTATCGCTAACTCTACCTTCCTCCAATCTCCTGTTCATTAGACTTTTCTCCAAAAGGATTTCAATGGCCTCCCTAACCTTCTGCTTCCTTGTTTTGTCACCGTATGGGGTTCTTCTTTCTGTTACCTTCTAGTTGATCTCGTGTTCAGCTAGTTCTAATCTTTCGTTATCCATTTTCCTGCAGAGCCTCTGATGTTCCTTGATTCGTGTGCTAATTTTTCTCCCTGTTTCGCCAATATATCTTTGTTCGCAGGCGCCGCATGATATACAGTAAACTCCCGAAAAGTCCTATTTATCTACCCTTTCATGTTTCGTTGGTAGACTTGTGAAAAGTGTTGATTTCTTTGTCATGTTAGATCCTTGATCCAGGACGTTGAAGTGATTTGTTCTTATGGGACGCTCAAAAAGAAATTGCTCAGAAAGAAGTCCTATGCTGGGATAATACTCAATTTCCGGTCCCATCAGAATTACAGGCTGAAGATTGGAATAATGAGGAGCATGATCATCCGAAGCCTACGCCTAACGAATTAATAATTCTGGGACGAAGAGCTGGACAAATTGACTAGGATATTTCTCAGCAATGGCTGAACTAGCGAAGTGATACAAAGAAGCATACGGGCCGTGAAGAGCCGATGGCAGAACGGGCAATATGAAAGAACAGTGAGGATGATGAAGGATTCACAAAACTGGAAATGCCTGCCTTCCTGTGAAATAACTCAAAAACTACGGCCAATATTGAGTAAATGGAATATTCAAGGGGTCATGAAAGAGAAATCAACACTTCTCACAAGTCTACCAACGCAACATGAAAGGGTAGACAAATTGGATTGTTCAGGAGTTTACGGTATATCATGCGGCGCCTGCGATCAGAAATATATTGGTGAAGCAGGGAGAAAATTAGCACACGAACCAAGGAACATCAGAGGCTCTGCAGGAAAATGGATACCGAAAGATCAGAACTAGCGGAACACATCACACAG